CATTTGTCGCGATCCAGGAGATCCTTGCCGATCTTCAGCCGGCAGGCTGACAGGTTCCGGACAAGTAATACACCTTGGAGGGGTCTCGCCTCGGTGTTCCATCTTCGCCCGGACAGAACTCCGCACAATGGCGGACAAAAAGCGGCGGCCGCAAAGTCAAAATAAAGTAATTGTTACCTTTTCTCGAGCCGCGTGCAGTCGAAGCCCTTTCTCATCCCCGAGGGTCTCTGCGGATGGAATTTTCGAAAGCGTCCCTTTCTGCCCGAGAAATGTACTCCCAATGGCTGACCCCTCCGAAATTTCTGATATCGAGGTAATCGGTCTCTGGTACCGAGGTACAAATCCCACGATATCGAGCAGCAATTTATTGCATTTTTTTCTAATACCCTAGGCATTGCCCATACACGTTATATAGGATTACAGGTGATATGCAATCGATGGCTATTCATTTTATTTTACTTTGCGATGCGAGGAGAATTCTTTATTAAAAATTCCGTTTAGGAGGTAAGCGTCCCTTTAAACTACCTCTTCCCGTCCGGAAGATGCAACGAAGGCTGCCCTTCGATTCTCGGTCCCGGGATAAATCTCTGGAAATAATTTAATATTCCAGGAGGAATCGCCCAGCGATGCCTCGCCGACTGGCATAATTTCTCCCTTGGCTCGGTAATTTTAACATTTATTCTTTTAACCGTCCTCCAGGAATTACGATGCCCTCGAGGTCTATTAAGAGAAAATTATGCACCCATTCCCGAGGGAAGGCGAGACTGGCCGTAACGAGCGCGACGCCTGTTTTGCACTTGAATGACCCAATTTCCTGCAGTCCCAGCGATTTTAAGCAGCTTTTACAGGATCCTATTCGGTCTCTTCCATGAGAAGGTGCGCGACGACTCGACACGCTCTTTTGCAACTCAATGGAGGAGGTCTCAAAGAACCACGGGGTCCCGATTTTCCGCGGGCCGATCTTCCTGACTTTTCATGATTTCCCATTGTCCACTTTCCCATTCCACGGTTCTATTCGACGCCTGCAAGGAGGAGACTTCACGCATGCGCGCGTCTTCACCGTCAAAAAACTCGAAAACCCGATCCCACGGATTTTTGGTATTCCGAAACGAAGTTTAGGTATTCCCTAGAGTGGTCCTTGTGTCATTACCATGGAGGACTCTGTCTATTTTGAATAGGAGGTTCCTCTGCATGTTTAACAAAAAAATTGTGGATTTTCGATGGTACCGAGGATTTAATAAATCAATGAAAATTCGGGAATTTCTTGCAGTTGGTTTGGAATTCATTTTTCATGGGGTATAAGTACGGGGTAAAATCCTGTAGACGGCTCTGAGATGTCACGTCAAATGTCAAGTGACTTCCCGTGTAAAATTTCAATTCTACAGGCACACTTTTTCGATCCCAAGGAAGGCAAAATGGAAGTGTCCTATAAGTGGAGGAGAGCCGACCGTCGGTTTTATGGCCTGAAATAATTATTCAGAAGTGAGCAATGAAGTCGCCGCTTTGGAAACAATTAAATCTTCCACTTTGAGGTAACCTTCCTTTGAAATGGTCTCGTCTTAACTAAGAGTCCTCTTATCAGGCACGTAGCGTAAGGTTCCATAATCTTAACCTGGTCCACCATCTACAAAAGACACAAAAAATGGCTCCAGAGGGTAATCGAAATCGAAGGAAAGTACACGTTAGGACTACTTCTACAAGTGTCGGTCCATCGATCTGCAGAAAACCACCCGAAGGCAAGATTGACTTTAATATCCATTATTTCGATTGTTCATCCTCATCTCTGAATGTGGAATTTTTTATCCCCCTCTCTACCGCAGGAAATGCGAGGAATACCACCAGGAATAATCCAGCGACCTGTAGGGAGCTTCGGGAAGGCAAGATTTGCTCTTATTTTAATTTTTCCAATTTTTTCTCGAGTACGGGAAAAAACCGATCGCTCAAATCTTGTCGCAGAAAGTCCATCTTCTTCGGGGAAGAGCTGCACTACGAGGGACGACGAGGTCCATCTGAAGAGATACGAGAGGCTGAAGAAGCGAGTCGAGAGCACGGTCCTACTTCTTCATCACCAAGATGAGGAACAGAAAGGATCGTGCATGCAAAACGCTCTTCAGCGTGAAAAACCAGCAGAGAAGAGGTGTAGAAAAGCGACGCCCGCGACGCCTTGCGACGCCAAGTCTTCTCTTCGTGGACATCGCGAGATCGAGAAGCTTCTCCGGAAGATTCAGGAACTGAAGAGGTACATCAACGACGTGGAAGCTGCCCAACGTTCCGACGAAGTGGTGACCGAAAGATCCTTGACAAACTCCCATAAAGCGGAGATAAATTTCCACAATAGCGAGAATAACTATTTGGAAATTAACTAAGAAGATTAACTCCAAGAGAAACGACGATTCGATGTCAAGTCGCGTGAAAGGAACTGGGAGTGAAACGAAAAGTGAAACGCAAAGCTACAGCATCCAGGCAACTTCTGTAAGCGTCATTGTTAGGCTAATTACTGACATTGAAACTGGACGCGATCATTTTTTATTCTCTAAGTGATGATTCATATATATGGATCATGTTTATTAATTTTGCAGTTTTGGTTACTGGGAGGATTGTGGCAATTTGTCTCCGTGGAAAGTTTCGGGAGGAGAAGGGATTCTAGGGGGATGTTTCTGCTCTTTGTCCAGGGTGTCGGGTGTCTAGGAGAGGATGGACCAGAAATTGACACCAGCACCCAGACTCCGGTGACAATTGTCACCGACATTGGCAGCGCACGGCAAGCTCTTCTAAATTGTCTTCAGGAGATCGGGATGCTGAAGAACTTCCTAGGAGACGACGAGTCCTGGGAAAGGGCGATGAAACAAAAGGACGCACTTTGTTGCAACGAGCAGAAGCCTCATATTCATGGATTCTTTGATGGGATTTGCGTGGTCTTCAAGTTGCTTCCAGCCGAGGTGACAATGGATTCGAACCCTAGACTAAACTAGAACATTTAATTGATAAGATAATGGATAAGAGGATCGATTTAAAAAATGCCATCCTTCCCCAAAGAAATCTCAATGTATCTACATAATTTTTAATATTTAAAATGTAAAATCGTTATGTTGACAGGATGATGATCCGACAAAAAGATTCCTCCCTGAAGCCAAGCCCGAGGAGCCACCGCAGACTGGACAGGACAATCAGGAAACAATGGAAAGTTCTGCAAACAATGATAATGCTGGTTCCGCAATTGTTGCGGAGAAAAAGGCGGAAACGGTTCCGGAAAATGAGCAAAATCGGACCTCGTCCAATGGAGCGGAGCCGAAGACGTCGGACTCTTCGTGTTCCTCGAAGAAGTGTCGCCGAGCAGAACTAGAAGAGTAACTTCCTAGCAGTCTGTTAGGGTTAAGATTTGAATCTTTTTCCTCGCGATTCTTAGGGCCAGACCCCGGACGAAGTGTGGCAAAAAGTGCAACGAGGCGAGGAGGGAAGGAGATAAAGCCGAGGAGGGTCCCGAAGAGGAAGCCGAAGACTGGGAGGATGCTGTGGTTAGCCAGGACCAGGACCTCAATGGCAGGAAGGGTGAGTCGTCTTCGAGGTGGAGGAAGTGTTTGACGATGTAAGAATTGATGAACTTTCAGAAACCAAGGAGGGATGGACGGAGAACGAGAAAACCATTGTGGGCACCGCGTGGGAACCGAAACTGGTGGAGATGAGACGAGAGTGATGAACAGAGACGGGCATTGTTTGCTAATTACGATTTATTCCCGTGATAACTTTACCATTTTTATTTCGCGTCTTCCCTTAGGAATGATTCCTGATGAATATCATTTCAGGCCGTGTAAAATATTTCCATGGATTAGAGGAATTATTTCTTCGTGGATGTTGATTGATACTTGATCCTGAAAAATGTTTATTCTTATTTTTCTTTTTATAAGAAGTAATAGGGCGGGGTGCCCGTTTCTGGCAATGTCAATTTGACAAAGTCAAATGTACCGACAGATGTGAATGTATCATTCTTTGTAATAGAATCCACCGGCTAAAGGATTATCCATATACGCAAGAGCTTATGCTAATGGGACACCCTTCGAGTATGACCAGAAATTTTCTGCGACTTCTGTTCGGGTCAATGTCAAAAGACAAAAATAGTAGAAGATATCTATCGCCTGAACATCGGTAATCATCGATTTATCCCAAATACGATTAATCATCGACCTCGACGGTACGAGAATAATTTCTTTTCATGTAAACGTTGAAACGAATTGTCATACTCATTTTTAGATAAAGTAACTGGGAAATCTGAATTCCAAAAATGTGGCTAAATATAATAAAGAGGAAGATATTGAAGAAAAAGAAGAAAAGGAAGAACTCCAACTGCGAGGAGGTTGGTTTTTGTCTATTTTTTACTACAGATTTTTTCCACCGTTCTTACTGAAGGTTTTTAATTTTCTTTATTATAAAGCAAGTTGATAACGGAATGCTTATCACAATTGCTAGATGCGTGTCAGCCTCGGTCAAAGGAGACGTACCCATGGGGTCGAAAACTTTTTTGATTTTGAGGGAAAGTGTTAATCCAAGAGAATCCATTTCGACCTCCATTTGCGTTAATGAAGAAGTACAAGAAGAAGAAGAAAAAAATGATCTCGATGTCTCAGACGAATAGGATAAATCTGGTTTATTAATTAGGTTTGTACAAGATAACGGCTCGCAAAAAAATCAATCCTGTATTTCGGCGTAAAGAAGCCGAAAGAGACAAAAAATTATTCTGAATAAAAATGGGAATTTACAAAATTTGAGAAGGATTGGATGGAATGACATTTTTGACATTTGAGGCCCCTCCAAAATCGATGACGTTACGAACGACGTTCTTTTCATTGCTTTCTTTGTCACTGTCTTTGACATTTTTCTTGGCAGCAAAATTCCACTCGAAACTCATTCGCACGAAATTTACGCAATTGATGACAAATTCTACTTGTTTGGATTCCTTGAAACGGATTAAAAGAAATTCTTGAGAATTTCCTTATCATAGAGATATGAAATTTCTGGGGAAGAAGATCTCTCGAGTCTCTATTGTAGGTTAGGTTCGAGGAGGTCTCGAAAATGGAATTGAAAAGCTCAAAAATGAACGAGGCGCCGTCGTAAGAAATGTAGCAGACATTATTCCACGAGTAAGAGATTCTATCCTGATTTAAATTATTTTCTCCCAGCTTAAAATTGATTTCCCTTATCAGTGGAAGAAATCGAGACTCGCGATTCGGCGGTTGAAGAAAAGTCATCTACAGGTTGGCAATGTGCCTCGTCAAGGAAAAGAAAAGAATTGAAAGAAGGGAAAGCCCCGAAGAAAGAAAAGAAGCCGAAGAAGTCTAAAGAGAAGAAGTCAAAGAGCGACAAGTCCAAAGATGAGAAGTCTAAGAATGGAAAGTCGAAAGAAGATTCGAAGGAAAAGTCCGACAAGAAGAGGAAAAAAGACAAAGATGAGAAGAAGGGCTCAAAGAGGAGCAAGAAAAAAGAGGAGAAAAGCCGCGGTAAGGAGACTCGTACTGACCTTTTGGCTCCTTTTAGTTAATTATCGACTTTACAAAATGTTTGTCATTAAATGAGGAGCTTTTAGCTTTCGAGCTTCCGGATGTTTGCGCTGAATCTGTGGACAGCAAATCGAATGAGAAGTGTCCACCGGAAAGCAAGGATTCCGTCAGGTTTGCTAGTTGTGAAAAGTCATCGAAAGGATCTTCAAAACGGTCTAAAAGTTCTACATACTCGAAGTCATCTACTTCGATGAAGAGCAAATTAGGATGCAGTGCTCAATGTTCCCAGCAGGTTAAAATGGATTACGAGGAGCATAAAAAATCATTGCCCAACATGTGTCAGAGGCCGAAGTGAGTAAAAATGAAAATTAAAAAGTATCCATATAAAAGTTAAGTATTTTCTAATGAATTCATATTTACGAATATATACGATATACGTGGAAAGATATTTTAATAACATGCTAATTAATGGAGGTCGATTTAGGGCAAGGTTGGAGATTTGCAAGCCGTACAAAGAACCCAAACTCAAAGAACCCAAGAACAAAGAACCTAAGGCTGAGCCGAAAGAGCCATTTTTTTCGGAGGAATTGAAAGACAAGATTAAAAGCTTCTTCGATCCGGAAAAAATTCAGGTCAGCTAATTATATTTCGAATAGTTAGTTTACTTCATGGTTGTGAGATTGAGAATGTATTTCCGTGCTCAGAAGGCTTTGCCATTCCTGGAGAAAAAGTCGAGGAAGTCCCTGAAGAAGATGAAGAAGATGTACTCTAAATTCTCGAAGAAAGATTTCCAATGCGATTTGGAAGATTGCGGAAGTGCAATTTCCCGGTGCAGTGCATCTGCTTGCAGAAGCAGCAAATCTTCGTCGAAGAAGTCCGCCATGTCGGTAACTAGATATTTAATATTGCAATCCTTTGATCGAAATTTTATTAATATATTTCCTTGGATGGAAACATTGATAACGAAAATGTCGTCTCGAAGAGTTCACCGAGCACGAAGAAGAAATGCAGGGAAAGGGGAAGTTCTTCAAAGAACGTGAAGATTGCAAAAAGCTGCTCGTTTGAAAAAATGGCCAGCGAATCTTCGGAAATTTGCCGGGATTTTGGGAAAGAACCGGAGAAGAAGAAGAGCTCCTTGTCGTGCTGCCCGAAAAGGTCGGGAGACGCGAAGAAAAAATCGCCGAAGAAGAAAAAGGAGAAGAAGAAGAAGGAGAAGAAGAAGGGCAAGTGCAAGGACTTCCAGATTTGCGAGTGTCCTGAAAATACCGCCAAGTCCAGCGACTCTAATCCTTATCCAGAATGCTGTTGTCCCGATGGAGTCTGCAGCGTGGAAAACCTAAAGAAGAAGAAGAAGAAGAAAAAGGAAAAAGGTGCGTGCTTGGCAAAAAAAAAAAAATATCAGGAACAAGACCCTTCTTGCTCGTAAAATGAATGGAGGTTGTTTTTTCGCACCTTGGTATTTTTTCGTGGACGAGGATCCTTTTTCCTTCCAGCGAGTCCTGAAACGGAGACGCCGAAACCGGAGAAGAAGAAGAGCTCCCAGTCTTGCTGTCCCACCGGATCTGGCAAGAAAAAGAAGAAGAGGAAGAAAGAAAACTGCAGAGGGGAATTCGAAATCTGCGAGTGTCCCGAGAACGAAGGTGCAAAGGAAAATGACTCGGACACGGAATGCTGTTGTCCTGAGGGCGTTTGCGAAGAGAACTTTTCTGACTCTAAAGAATGTAAATCTTAGCATTGCAAAACCGCATTTTCAATGGAAATTTCCTCTAATTCGAACGTTTCATTCGGGAAGAAATCCAGCAAAGCTTCCGTAGTGTGCCAGGATCAGAAGTTGAAGAAGGCCACAGGACTCGAGAAAAGGACACCCCGGTCGTGTTGCGTAAAAAACTCCGAGGCTGATAAGAGAAAGAAGAAGAAAAAGAAGTCGGTCGTGATATGCGGACAGTGCAAGATTTGCGAGTGTCCAGGAAATCGCAAAAAAGTCTGCAAATCCGATCCTTACCCCAAGTGTTGCTGTCCCGAAGGCGTCTGCAGTTTGGACGATTTAAAAAAGAAACAGTGTAAACGTACATAAATTAATTACCCGATATTGAATTTCCTACACTTATCTGTTTTAATTCACGGCTCTATTTTTTTTTTTCAGAAGGGGCTTTGCATCGAGGTTTCTTCGGTTAAATGTAAATTCTGCAATTAATATTTCCACGCATGACAACTGTTTCGGGTCGAATGACGAAGATGCACGAAGGTTCGTTTCCGTTCCTTGTCATCCTCGACAGCAACAAAGCTCTTGTCAAGGGTTCGGAGCTCGCCCTGAAGGGAAGAAAATTCAGAACTGTCAAGGACCGTCAGGACGAAGTGAGTAATTGCCATAATTCAAGCAATTATCCCTTCGCAAAGAGTCGGCGGTTCTACGGGACATGCGCGACATGGGAAAACTTGCAGAAATTTAGGTAGAAACCGAAAGAAGAAAAATATCGATTTTTTTTTATTGTGTCATTTTATTTTATTAGTCATTAATTATGACAAGTACTTCCCGGCATCGAATCAAAGTACATGAACATTAAGTGATACAACAGGAAATTGCCGTTGTGACCAAATCCCTGTATTAATGAAAATACTCTTTCCTTGATTAATTCAATGCTTTAATTGAGACATTTTTTAATTTAATAATAAGGATGGATTTCTCGTAAAGGACTCCTGGTGAACCGGAGTACGATTCTCGACGGAGAGGACGAGTCCATAAATCACGATGCAATGCACATGCATTACGGCCGGCGGCCGCGACCTCGTGTAATTGCACGCGGGCGTGTCGTGTGTACATACCCTAATCACCGTCAATGATTTCCCGACGAATCGCGCCGGAAACGCACCGCCGGAAGTGGGCGGACTGGGCGCGTTTCCACTTGCGGAAATCGTTCCCTCGGCCTTGATAACGCGAGTAATCGCTCCATAACATTAAGTAATAATTTTCTACACGGTACTTTAAATCGAATTAATTGCCCGCTTAGACGAAACAACGACAAGAGATGATCGACGAAGCCAGAAGTCCATTACCACTTAACATATAGCTGGCAAGAATGAATTCCTAACATTTAAAAAATTTATTTATGAACCTATGAAATTAATTAAAAAATAACTGCACGTGCGCGATCCCAGGAAAATATCGGTATCGGAATTTTATGCCCTCGTAGATGTATTTGGTGCGGAACTCGGTCGAGTTTCGCGATATTGGTGGATTTACGACACCGGATTGAAAAAGAGAATTTTTATCGAGGATAGGGAAAAACACTGTCCAGGTACTCGATAGATCCATAATTCAGGATATTAACCGACATTCTTAATTGCGGGGTCGCCTTATGAGTGGCTTTAATTAGAAGGCTTTGGATTAATATATCAGCGACGAATTTCCAATCTCCGCGGTCTCTTGGCGTATAATCGCGGGTAATCGGCGCGCAAACACGATCAGCAATAACTCGCTCGAAGTCGGTCGATTGCGAAATAGGACAAGCGATCGGTTCGCTAGCTGAATAATATCAACCAGGCGATGTTTACGGGCAAGGAATGCCGGCTAATGGGGTTCGGGGATTGTGAATTGTCGGTGCCTGCACGGAGTAACGATCCATGACTAATTTAATGGAGGCCCTGGAATAGAGCCCGGCTTTTCCTTTACGGTTTATTTATCCCCGGCAGGTCGGCGCTAAGAAAAAGATCCCATTTAATTTTCTTACAATCAAACTGGAGGAGCTGAATCCCTCCCCGAGGTTCCTAAACCCCAGGATAATCCGTACATTTGATGCGGAATTATTCTTGCTTCTTTTCCAGGGACTCGGCAATCCAAGATGGCGGCGGAGACGCTCCGCGACGTCTTCGACCGTTTCGTCAGTTTTCACCGATTCTGACTCTTCCGGTGTCTCACCCGGCCCCTGGAGGGGCTAAGGCTGTCGAGGCGATAATGTGGGAAAGTCGAAACTCGTAGGTTACGGATAAATTAGCTGTCAGGTGCGAGGTTACGTGGCTGCACGCGTCCGTGTTCGCGTCCATTGCGCAAGCCCGAGACCCACGAGGCGCCGTCTCCTTCTCGAGGAGGTTCGTTAACACTTAATCCGAGGGTTAAATCCCGTTTGGAATAACGCAGGTTATTTCCGGAAACCTCATTGACCTCCACGTAGACTGGAGCATCGATATCACATCCAAATACCATTTCTCGGCGCAAAAACCGAACCCTTCGACTGGGCACAAAATGGCGTTGGATTTATTGCCTCCTTCCCATGATTGCTTCCGTTATTATCCTAGGGCCAGTTAGTACGTCACTTAGTCATGCAATACGCGGAGTTTTAGTCGAGGTCGAATTTCCGGAGGAAGATGGAGACGGGAATTCGACGTAGCCCTCGATACGTCTTCATCCCGAGGTGGAGGCCGATCGGGAGGAGCGGCCTTTCCCATAAGATATTTCCGAACCGGCTGGGAGCCATGGCCGATCGTTATTCCGGTATACCTTTTCTGGGCCCTTCTGTCTTCTAGGCCCAACCCACGTGGGCCTTACATCGCTTCGCAGCTGCTGCTGCTCGAGGTCCCGCTCCTATAAGCGTCCTTATAGAACGTCTTCCCCGAGTCGGCCCAATCATGGCCGATCCCATGGGGATCGTCATCGGAAATGGCGGAAAAATCCCCGTCTCTTTCTGCCTCCTCCAACCTCTCCTCCTCTTACGAGTATTCTTCCTAGTTTCCCGCTATTTACGACGCTCTAAAACACCGGAAAGATGAAGCTTCATGGAATTTAATGGGGAACGTGAATCGCCGAAGTGCAGTGGAACGGTTCTTCATATTCGCGTTGTGTTTATGCCTCGACTCGTTACCGTTTATGGGATTAGAGGAATTATCGCTTAATAATCCTGATTTTCTTTTATACAAAGCAGAGAAAAATTAAGCTTCATCGAGACTAATGGGGCATTCAAATCCCCGAAGTGCAGTAGAACGGCGTCGATTTTTCCGTTTTTAGTCTTCACCGTTTATGGGGCTGGAGGAATCATCGCTTGATGGTGGTGATTTTTTTTTTCTTTTTTTTATTTAGGACCTATCTGGTTTCATGGGAAGAGCGCGTTATTTGGAAACGGGGCCCGATGGAGGATGGTTGAAATAATAATTTGTCGGGCCCTTCGGGGTCTTGGGCCCAACCCAGACGGAATTTTACCCCGCCGGGCAGCTGCCATGGGGAGGAATTTCGTTCCAAGGGGTGGTGCTTATTCGGGGATCCATAATGTCTACAGGAGAACCATGTTCCCTCCATTGGAGCCAATCATGGCCGATCGCATCATGGAGATCGCTGGCGAGGATCTTTATCGAATATCAGCCTTGAAAGGTGACACGTGGAAGAGTGGAGGAACGATCATGGGAATTCGAGGATCGCCTCGACCTCTCGATGTCGAGATCCTCGATACCGCCTCGACATCGAGGAAATGACACGTTCTGAAATATCTTCCCAGATCTTATTCACGATCCATTAAGGAGAAAATTAACGTGCTCTGCTCATTCTCGATCGCAATCGGAAAACTGATGCCGTCAGCCTTCGAGATCATTAAGGGGTCATATGCAGAATTTAAGAATTTCTCTTTTTTCATAACCAAAATCCCTTTTTTAATCGAAATCAGACCGTGATTTCACAGTACAATTGTTGAACTTGATATAGAATCATGCTCCGTTATCGACTAAAAAATGCATTTCAGTTATGAAAAATGAATTCTTGCATTTCGCCCGTGACAACTGCCTTAACGAAATTAAGGACTTCCCAAGGAATACGGATATTTCCGAATTGTACGAGGTACGTCGATCAATTATAGCTGAATGCGAGCCTGGACGTCTATCTCGAGGAGAAGGTTGCTCCGGACACCTTGTCAACCTCCTTGACGAGAACAAGATTCCCGACCCATGTCTTCGAGATATCGATCCGACGTTCTCGCGAATAGAGGTGATATTCCGCGAGATGGAGTTCGCTAAAAAATTGTTTCCGGGGTCTTGGCTCGTTAGTCGGTAGATTTGAGCATTACTGGAGGCTTGCTCGCGTTTTAATCATTTTTTACTCGAGCCTTCCTCGTGTTATTTTTTTTCTTGCGACCGTCACTCGAGCTTTATCGTAGCTTTACTTCGGCTCGAACTCAAACTCGGTTCGAGCTCGAACCGAGTACTCGAAGATGAGAAGGTGCACTTCGGGCAATTTGACTTACGACATTTTGAAAGCGAGCCGACCGCTCGTAGGCGTGTGTTGAAACGTCGGGATTGTCGGACGGGTTTTGCGTGGGCTCGAGCATATTACATCTGGCCAGGTTCGCGGCTCATGATGGACGAGACAGGTGATTATGCGTGTGGAAACTACCAGGAATACACGCATACGAGTACCCCCGAGCACGCACGAGTGCGAGTCCTGGAGGATCCTTCGCCCGAGAGATCCGCATCTCGCCTTCAGGGTTTCCAGGACTCGCTTCCTCTCCGCGAGCACCTTTGTTCCTGGATTAAATTTCCATCGCCCATCATCGCCTTAGCGAGAGAATCCCGAACTTCACCCTTGATAGTCCCTCCACCTCCGGGATTTTTTTTAACCCTGAATTAAGAACTTCGCACCTGAAGTCGAAGAAATGTCGTGACGCCATATTTGATTCCTTGAATTCTTGAATGACACTTCACGCGGACGAGTTTTTCCTAGTTTTCTACGTCTTCACCTGGAGATATTTAAATCCG